TATTTGATTCAGGATTTTACCTTTAGATGGTGCCATGTATTTTTTCAGTTGAAACTGGTATAGCTGAGATGTGAATTATTTCAGAGCTTATAACAGATGAATGTGAAAGGAAGAACTCTGGATGTGGAAGAGTAATGTAGTGGGAGTTGAAAGCCTGTAGCAACTTCCAGTAGTTCTATTTGTTTCTTTTTATCAAACTTCAATGCTGGAGAGAAACACTAATGCATACTTAGCAGCGGTCTTATAATAAAAGCAACCAAAGTGTTTTAACAAAGGTGAACAATAATAGAACATTTTTTAGGTACGCCTATTCCAAGCCTAAATCGTACATGAATGGTGTTTTTTTTTAAACTCACAAACCAACTGCACTACAAGTTAAACTGCCCAAAGTGTGTTTGCTGGCCCTCCCTCATTCCGTTCTGAGCAAGGTGGCCCCTAACAGCAGGTACATGAGGAAAAAAAAGTAGATATTCACTCCTGGGTCTCACTGTCTACTCTAGGCAGAAAGAACTTCCTATTTTCATTCAGTTTGAGGCTGGGCTAAGGAAAATGAGTACTGTTTTGCTTTACAGTTAATTTTTAAAGGATGAACAGAAAATGTTTGAGCTGATTGTCATCACTTCTGGAATTTCCTTGAGCCACAAAGTTGACATTTGTTATCAGAGAGTAGATGCTTGAGGATTACTGGAGTGCATTGCTGTGTTTCAGGTGTAAATAAAATGGCAGTGTCATGCACTATTCTTTTCATCCCTTTTATGGGAGGAAAATAGAGAACTTGGCTAACTCATGTACTTCTAGTTTAAATTTAAGGAAAATTTATGTAAATAGTAAAAACTTCTCCCAGCTTTCAAGAAGAGAGTACTCCAAAATATTCTGTGTTTGTTTTTGTAAGTAACCAATTGTTGTCCATGATGTTAACAATTGGAACATACACAGGAACAGCACATTCTTACATCTTTCCTGTGTGTTTTACATTTCCTCATCTTGAAGCAGGAGGAGAGAACTAAATTTACTTGGAAATATGAATAAGCGGAACCTATTGTTTACTCGGGGACTAAATTAAAATGGAAATCATTCCTGTGTGCAGTCTGAAGGCATTTATTTGATTGTGGACGTAATAATTTTGTGCTGCTTATTGTGGTAATAACTGTCTCAGTATGCCTTTTATGCCTTATGATAAGTTAATAAAATCTTTGGGGAAGAGGCTATTTCTATCACAGGTGTGAAGAAGTTGATAAAACAGAAGCTGCATCTCAGACTGGGGTTCTTCGAGAAGCAACTGTTCTGGCATTTCAGCTGCCTTGTAATTTGGAAATGATATGGCTAAGAAACAATGCCCTCTTATTAAAGGATACGTAGTTTTGCTAACAGTGATATATGTGATCATAAATAGTTGACATATAACTTTAAGGAGAAAAAAACTGCATCTACCTTGAAGTACAAATTCCAGAGCAACATACCTCTTCAGAGTCACACTTTGCACATAGAGAGGGTCAGGGCTGTGGTCCCTTTCAGATTAAAAGGGAATCAGAAACTATAGACTGTGACATTTTGTATTCCCTATTGGATGATAAAGATACCCTTTCAAGGCTGAAAACAGTTTGAGCTTGGGCACACCTCACTAAGTTACATACCAGAAGGTCTTTAGAAAGGGATTTAGAGGCAAGACTGCGTTTTGAAAGCTCTGTAGTATGTAATATTCCACATCCACAGCTTCTACTATATACAAAGGTTTCATAGTAGCTTTTTCCTCATACATTTCATACAGGGTTACGGAACTCACCTAATGAATCATCTCAAGGAATACCACATTAAGCACAACATTCTCAACTTCCTCACGTATGCAGATGAATATGCTATTGGCTACTTCAAAAAACAAGTAAGTCAATCTAAGAAATAACTCCATGCAAGAAGTAAACGTCTAGTAATGACGAGCTAAGCAACTTGGCATACTGCAGAAGTTGGATAAAATACATGCTGTGTTTTTGTGTAAGAAATACTTCTTTTTAAGCCTTCAAAATATACTCTGTGTTTATCTAGTATGACATTGGCTTCTAATACATTTTATTTTGAGGGAATCTTATGACTGTAAGTGTACTGTATAGCCTGTAATTTACTTAACGACAGAGTAAAATATGGCTAGGCTGCCTCTGGACCTGCTTCATTTGCTTCTTTCACTGATTCTGCAAGAAGTGTGAGGTTGGACCAGACATACTGGTTACAGGCTACTACTTGCTCAACTTGTGCTCACAGCTGCTTGTGATTTGAATCATGAGGCTCAAGTTCAGGAAAGAGTATGGTGTTTAATCTGTCAAATAGATTCAGCAGATTAAATTCATGGTTGGAGCATACAGTGGAGCATACAGGCTCTTTTCCGAGGCGTACGGCAGCTGGTCTAGAGGCAGCGGACACAAGTTGGGTCATGGGAAATTCCAATTAGGTATAAGGATTCTTTTAGTTTTTATTTTTAACTGTGAGGGTGGAGAAATACTGGAAGACATTGCCTGGAAAAGCTGTGGAATATCTGGGTAGTGTTCAGACCTGAGCTGGACACAACCCTGAGCAACCTGATGTCATTAGACCCTGTCTGAACAATGTGTGGGTCTGCATGACCTCCAGAGATCTCTTCCAACCTCAACTATTCTGTGATTTTATGAATATAACTAGTACAACTCAGAGTAGATATTTTGTTTTGTTTTCTTTTCATTTAACTTTTGAACTTTTGACTGTAATAAAACTTAGAGTCTGTTTTTTTTTTTTTTCCCCACTTAAAATACACATGTACAATAGTCATTGTTCTTTCTGAGCCAGATATTACTGCAGCCTTTGGACAGAGGGCTCACTGACTTCAGCAGAGGCTTTTCTTAACTCATGGCTGCAGTACTGGGATCTTTTAATATTAAAATATAAAATTATTGGAAAACTCCAGTAAATTTGTCTGGAGTAAAAATCTATTCTTCCATCTTTTTACCTCCTTTCTCCTCTTCCTGTGTATAAAAGCAATTGTTGTATCAAGTGATTCCCTTAAGAAGGTTGTTGCAATATTGTAAACCATGGTTTGTAATTTTTTTTTTTGCAAAATATCCTCTGTATTTTAACATTATGATGTTGTAAGTCTTCCCTGTTTTTCATTTCAAACCAATGTAAAAGGAAAATGGCATAATCACAAATATTACTATTATTATTGTTTTTTTTTTTCTGCAGGGTTTCTCCAAAGATATTAAAGTACCAAAAGCAAAATATGTTGGCTACATCAAAGATTATGAAGGTGCCACGTTAATGGGATGTGAATTAAATCCAAGGATTCCCTCCACAGAGTTTTCTGTCATCATTAAAAAACAAAAAGAGGTAAAGGCTGAAATGAAAAACTGAACAATATCATCATCAGACATTTCCAAAATGTCACATTTAGGATTATTTTAGTTTTAAAATGTCAGTGTTTTCAGTTTTCAGTCAGTGTTAGATTGAATTCTTCACCTTTTAGCAAACTCTTTGTCTTGCCTCTCAAACTCTTTCTTGTTTCTCTGCTTCATTATTGCAGATAATTAAGAAGCTGATAGAAAGGAAACAAGCTCAGATTCGGAAGGTCTACCCTGGCCTTTCTTGCTTCAAAGATGGAGTACGACAGATTCCTATAGAAAGCATTCCTGGAATTCGTACGTATCGGTTTATTTTGATGTAGAACAGAAGTAGAATAGCCTAAAAAAAAGGTTCAAGACTACAAACACTAATGTAACCACATATTGCTTTTTCATAAGATATAATTGTTTCAGTCTGTTAATTTGATTTCTGTCAAGATTGTTACGTTTCTACCCATAATACTGTCTTCTTTATTATGGCATCCCAGACTAGTGCTCTTTTATGTACACGTTTAATTTTGTTTACATGTGATGCTTCTTGCTTTGTACCACAGTATAGTCAGCAAATTCCCTCTGGCACCACTGTTATGCACTGAGCTCCTGTACAGGGACGAATTCCATGCTAAATAGGGACCTATTTGGAATAGGACAAAACAGAATTAAATTTTAAGTGTCATCTTTTTTTCAGCTGTCTCTTCTGCAATTTATTCTATGTCTCTGTGGAAACATATAAGATGATTTTAACATCACTTATCTTTACAAAGACTGTAATAAAATATGTATTTTTTTTAAATCCAGTGTGTTTCTTGTAGGAATATTTTAGAATCTTTTGCAGCTGCCTGAAGAAAGGGTCTTGTAGGAATTGAAATGGGCCTGGAAGCTAGATTGCTGTGTTTTTAGTAGGATTAGCTTTTATTAAAACAAACCAATTTTATTTTGTGGGAGAGCAGAAATGGCTTATGCTTTAGAGTTGCATTAACTCAGTTAATGCTTTGACCTCCTGTGGTTCTCATATACTGTTCAATGTTTTTGATGTACAGGAGAGACTGGCTGGAAACCAAGTGGAAAAGAGAGAGGGTAAGTGCTGCCCAAAGAAAAGTGCTGAAGCAGTTTCCAGAGTTTGAGAAATGTCTTAAATGACATTGGGAAAAATGACTTGAAATTTTCTTCTATCCGTTGAAAGACAGAAAAAATCTGCAGGAGGTGAAAGTGTTTTTTTTTTGTTTTGTTTTTCTTTTTCCATAAAGTTCTGGAATTTCATTCAGGTGAGAGGTAGATTCTAGGAATGAAGTTTCAAACTAATCTTTTTGTATTAATATTTTCTTTCAAGTAAAGAGCCCAAGGATCCAGATCAGCTTTACAGCACATTAAAAACTATCCTGCAGCAGGTGAAGGTGAGTGCTAGTTCTAGTTTGCCTTCTGTAAAGATTTTTAAATGATTTATAATATAGAGTTTCCATATTAGATACCTTACTTTTTTCTTTACCAAAGAGCCATCAAAGCGCTTGGCCCTTCATGGAACCTGTGAAGAGAACAGAAGCTCCTGGATATTATGAAGTTATAAGGTTTCCCATGGGTAATGACATTAACGTTTTTTAAGTATAGAGTTTAAAAATCTTTATAGCCAGAGACTTGGCAAATAGCAATATGATTGTTTCATATGTTAAAAGATATTAACATACTTCATATGTTCATATGTTAAAAGATACTTGCAGCCCTGAAGTGCCAAGAATACAATGCTGCTGTTTGAAATTTATGATTATTTTGTGACCTTTGTGAAGCATTTATGATAAATTCATGTGAAATCTTAGTGTATACCCTACAGAGTCCCCTTAAACCATGCAGTCAGAAGCTTTGGGGATTGAGCTAGTTTGAGAGCTGTAAGAATATGATCTCTTGTGTGGTAACTTGTCATTGCAGGGGCGATTGATATGTTAAAGAATCTTGAGGCAAACTTTCGGGAATACTAAGTGTTTGAATTGCTTTGAAAGGGTATAAGGGTATTTAAGCTTCCTAAATCACATAGAGGAAACCTTTCCAAAGTACTGGTTATTCTAATTGACACTTAGTATAGAGTTCATTTATGAAGTTTAACAAAATGCTTTATGCAACTGGTTATAAGAACCTGTTTTACAACTTTCAGTTTTGTATTTTGCACCTTTTGGATTTTTTTTCTTTTTGCAAACAGCTAGTGTTTATGCATTTTTGCTTGCAAAGGGAAGTGTACAAGTGCTAATTACTTTTCTTTTGACTGGTATGTCAAATAATTTAGATGATGATGATTTAGATAATTTAGATGATTCAGTGCAGTTCTAATTAGATACTTGTTTTGATTTGCACTGTAACAGATTTAACTGAATCCTGGTATTTCTTCACTGTTTGTGTAATATTCATCCCCATCTCTCTATTTACAGTTTCTGTGTTTTTAATCTTACTAGAGAATGAAATTCGAGTTCAGTACAGATTATTATCAATCAGTTTCTCAGAGAAGGAGAATGTTAGTAGAGTCCTTGATTGTGCCTACTAATTTGGCTTAGTGGTTATATTCACCTAATCATTTCCAAAGAGCAGATAGATGCGTACTTTATAAGAGCCGCAGTCAGCTTCCTGCATCCCTGAGGCAAACGGATCCTCCACCAGTGAAGCAGAACCGTGTTGCGCCGTCACGTGGCAAATTAGTCCTCCTCTGTTTTTCTGAGCAGAGGCGAAATGGCTGTTTAATCTGAATAAACCTTTCAGTGGTTATGAAGAACTTGCTGCCTGGGTTATTGTCTGTGCTCTCCTTGCCCAGAGAGGCAAGGGGGGAGGGGGAAAGCAGCTCTCATTTTAGGATTAAGCTGAGGTCTTTGTTTGGTTTCCTTTGTTTTTCCAACCAAGGAACCCAGCACAACTAACCCACATTTTGATTCATGATCAGCTCATTACCAGTGTGCTGCTATTGTACAAAGCTCATGACGTAAATTCAGTGAAAAACAAACAGTATCCCAAAAGCATCTAAAAAGTAACAGTGCTGACTAATAGAAAAGCTAATTTTTGCCTTTACATTTCTGCAGAGACTAAATTATAAGATGTTTGCAAGGTCTGTAAGGTTTTTTTTAACTACCTCTAAGGTTGTTATACCATGTCCATAGGCTTCTAATGTGTTTATTGATTTCTTTGCTGTTAAGTGCTCTTGCAGTCTATTGTTTTCAGGAGTGCTGTTTTATCCCCTTGTTCTCCCCTTGTTCATCTGTGCTATGAAAGCTGTGGGGTTAAGCGGGAGATGCAGCCAAACTCTCACTGTAGTCAGTGGAGAGAGATTTCACTGAGCAGCCAGTGTCTGCTTTACAGTGAGGTGATGAAGTTTTCCAGCATCCATACGATGATTAGGCATTAGACATATAGTTCATATGTAGGCATCTACATTTGTGCTGTAGTGGGAGTTGGATCTCTGTTGCAGTTTCTTCCTTACAGCTGTAAGTGTGCTTTGAGCCTTGGTCAGACAAGCATATTGGGGTGAAATGTGAACTTTTGAGGTATAAACATCGTTCTCAAAAAATGGCTGCAGACAATTTTAAGGGAGAGAACTGTTTAGCTAGACATTCAAATGAAAAGCATTTGTGATGATTGAAGCACAGACTTGACGCAACTATTTCACAAGCTCAGACTTTACTGGCCCACCCATTCGCATTCACTGAGCTACATCAGTGCGGTTCCTTGCAGCAGGCCCCTTTATGATGCTTTAGCAATGCCAGGTGGCTTTGTGTTTGCTGATGATAAGGCATCTTCTTAAATCGATCACTGCTAAACTGATTTCAATGTCCGTACACAGAACTTCTGGACAAACGTAGCAGATTTAACTCAGCAGTTATGATGCAGTGCAGCATCTAACTTCGGTGACTTTGAGTTTCTGATTCTCTATAAAGCAGGAGTGAAACGAGATGAGACTAAAGTAGAAATCTCTTAATTTATTCAATGACAAATACCTCATTAAACGCCCAGAAATAATCCCTAAATTCTGCTCAGAAATTGGAGTTGTTATACCGTGTTTTTCATTTTGGTTCTTGGGATTCCAGGGAATGACTCCAAAGGCCTATAACTAAAAGAAAGGGTCTTGCAAAATGAAAGGTGAAGAACCTTTGTTTTAATATGTGCTTTTCATAATAAAGTGTTATTTTTCTATTATGCTTACATGTGCTGAAAATGGCTCTGTTGTTACTGTTAAAACATTACCATAATTTTGTGCTATTTTCTTGCATATTACAATTCAGCATGAATGGATGCTTGAAAAAATAGTGACACGTTAGCACTGACTTTTTTAAAAAAAAACTTTTTTTTTTATTAGCACTGACTTTTTTAAAAAAAACTTTTTTTTTTCGAGCTAGTGCCACATTTGAATGGATGTTTTTTTTCCTTCTAAGCAGTAAATGACATATTGGAGGAGTCATTATTTTTTTCTGTTTCTGTGATTTTATTTTTCTCCAATAATGGCTATGTGAGACCTGAAATCACTGCATTAGTACTTCCCAGATGCTAGTACCTTAATGAGCTTTATTCAAAGGCTAAATAGAAATGCTTTCGAGGGCCAAGTACAAAAATGCTTCCAAACTTTTTGTAGAGATGGACCTGAGCAATCTGATAACCTGAAAAGGTCCATGTGGTTTATGAATCTGGGAACTTTAGCATCTAAGCAGCTTCACACTTTCCCAAACAGATGTTTGCTGATCTCATTTTGCTTAGATACTTGAAATCCTAGCTCAGTCTATCACTGTAAATCCGTAACCTACATAAGAATTATTGGTTCTGATTAGAAGAAGCCTAACTGTATGCTAACTGTATATGCAAGCAAAAACTTCTGTTTTAATTACATATTTTACTTGATAGGTATAGATGCTTATTAATCAACTCTTACTTAAGGCAAATGCGATTGAATTAGTGATATGGTGTTCTAGAATACAGTCTGCAAAGTCAGTCAGAGACTGTCCTAAGGATTCCTCCCTTCCTGCCTTCTTTCCTTCCTTCTTCCCTCCCTCCCTCCTTCTGCCTGAAAGTACTACCAAGAACAGTAAGTCCTCAGCTGCAGAGCAGTCTACTAGGTTGCAGAATGACAGTATCAAGAATCAACTGAGAGTTTCTGGCTTGCTATTACACATTAAAAAAAAAATTAGACTGCCTTTCCTTTTGCAAAATATTGTGTAAAGCTAGCGCATAGCAAGTTATATATCACTGGAATAGGTATTTCAGAGTATCTAACAAATTTGAGAGCATCCAGTTTCCTTTCTTAAATAATTCCCCGCTTTCATCTTGATATGCTTTTCTCTATTTTTCCAAATTCAAATTGTAAAAAAAGGAAAAGACAGTAGGAGATAAAGGGACTATCACTCTAATTTCATAGACATATCACTTCTAAAACTGCTGTGGTCTGGGAAGTAACTTATTTGCTGTGGAGGTCTTCAGTCTCTGCTTTGCTAGCAGTGTTCGTTAAGATCTTCCTATTTTAGATATTTGCATCAAGATTCACAAATGTGGTGCTGTAGCCTGGGCTCAAATACTGCCGTGAAAGAGTTGTTGGAGCCTCTGAGCTGGGAAATGCCAGGAGAACTCATTGCTAGCACTTACAGGGTAGACCAAGTTCTCAGATGCCTCGGAGGAGCTACCAGGATGAACTGTGTGGAGAACAGAGGTGATTTAGGTGCTTTATGGATGACAGATTTTAGTATAAAGGAAAACATTTTTTTAAAGAATGTTTTGTTATCAATAGTAGTTTTATGGCACTGTGAAGGTGGGAGAGCTCAATTCTCGTGTCATTTTCAGAAAGGGATGCATAATTGTAACTTTGAAGATGTAAGTAAAATATATGAAGACTGTGGAAAAGTATGTGATAGTTAATGTATATCCTGTGAAGTCATCCGAATTCCTATATACTCCTAAGACCCCTCCAGCAGAGCTCGCAGTAGCTTTGCCCCACATATTCACACAGCAGTTAAGGACACCTGATACAGAAAACACAAAGTGTGAGAATAGAAATGTGATGCTTTATTTATATTTTTAAGATCTCCGTGGAATCATTCTTATAGGGTTTTTTTTAAAAAAAATAAAAACCTTATCTCTAGGAGTGCAACTGATGCTGTTGACGTTAAAAGTTTTTGCGTGAATTTACAAGGTATCAAGATCAAGGCTTAGATGAGGGGAATTAATAATTGCAGCTCCTAACTTTGCCATCAGTTCATTTTAAAGGACAAAGAAATATTAAAGGTTATTGCTACACAAAATATATGAATCAAGCAGTGCTAATCTCTTTTTCTCCTGTACAGATCTCAAAACAATGAGTGAACGACTCAAGAATAGGTACTACGTGTCTAAGAAATTATTCATGGCAGACTTGCAGCGAGTCTTTACAAATTGCAGAGAGTACAACCCCCCCGAGAGTGAATACTACAAATGTGCCAATATACTGGAGAAATTCTTCTATACAAAAATTAAAGAAGCCGGATTAATTGACAAGTGACACTTTGTCTTTTTTTTTTTTTGCAACCAATCAGTGTGCCTCCTATATGGGCAAAGGAAGCCGTTATATTTTGGAGCTGTTGGGACTTCAAGTTTTCAAGAAACTTCTGTTTAATAATTAGCACTTTTAAAAACCCTTTTAGTTTTGCAAACCTGTATTATATTGAAGTTAGAAAGATTATTTTATTAAAATGCTTTATGATGTATTTAAAATCAATGAAAATTTCTTTTGTGTGCCCATTACAGTATGAGCTACAGCCTCAGAACATGTGGGAAAGTGCACATGTTTGGGGGAATATGAAGAAAATTCCTAGACAATGAATGTGAAGGTTTTAGCTTACAGTCTCTCTTTGAAAAAAAATTTTTTTTTCCAGTTTAAAAAAAAATAAAAAGGAAAAATAAGTTAAGGTGAGGGTTTGAAATATTTGTTTCGTTATAGATTTTTTGCTTTTTAGTAAGACACTTTTTCTAAGAAAAAAAAAGCAGGAGCTGTGAGAGAAAAGCAGGCACTTCTGAGAAAGAACTGCTGGAAACGTTGATAGATGCAATTTTTTCTATTGACTTGGGGTTTTGAGAAGCATTTTACCTGCAAATTCCAATCTCATAACCACTAATGAAGTAAAAATTTGGTTAGATGGGTAATGTCTTAGTGACTTGGCTTATGCAGGACATAAGTACCCAAAATAACTTCAGAAAATCTGGTTGGTATACACTAGGCTTAGTTTTAATTGGCTTAGTAGGGGATAAGGTTTTGATGCACTTCACGATTCACGCCATTTCCTACTCTCAACTGGTAAATTCTTTAGATTGTGAAAGCAGAGATAAGAGGATTGTACACAAAACTAGTCAATATATGACAGCTTCTAGGTTGTATTTCCCTCTGTGGTAAACTGGATTTTCTACCAAGCTTTATTGTAAATACTTAGTAACTGTGATTATTTAGAGCCAGGAGCATATTAACATTTTACAACTCATGTTAACAAATCATCATATATCATCAAATGAAGCACATATATATATATAATATATATTTTGTTGCTTACACTACATTTAAGAGGTACACCTAACTAACTTCCTCATGGAGATAAGTACAGGCCAAAAATCTGTCACTTGACATTTTCTAATTAAAGTTTATAACTGCTTTTGTGAAGAATAAATTTTACTTTTATTCTTGGTGTTTTGTATTTACAGGTGTTACACTGGTAAAGTTCAGTAGTGATAAGGTTGGAAAAAAACACCTTATGTTGTTATCAAAGAATATAGTCCTGTAAAATGCCTGTGCAATGTTAAATTACAAGTTGATTCAGTAAGCATGTCAGAACCTACCTGGAAGTAGTGTGGTACACACGGTGTTCAAACTGTTAACACTAGAATTGCCTCAGTGTTTCATATGAAATTAGCCGGACTTACATTTGGATCTATAACTAAGGTACAGTGAGAGAGTTGTTTTATAGCCAGTATTGGATACTATAATCCTATTTTGTAGATTGGGCCTACAGATGCACCTGTTAAGCTTGGTATCCTGTGAAACTTTGTTATTTTCAGAGTAGATTTTCTTATTGTCTTTCAATCAGATTGTCTCTTCTATATTGGAACATTTGTTTTCTAATTTAAAAATTAATATTTTCATAGATACTGTGCAATAAAGTTACAGTAGGATGTGGTTTTTGCAAATGCTTTAATAGCTGATGAATTTTACATTTGTAAAATTAATATATTGTATTGGTACAGAATAGTTTTAAATTATATATATATACACACACACAACCCTACTTTTGGTCTCTTATTTAACTGCTTTTTGCACTACACATGCACTGAATTTCACAACTGAGCACACTGAAGCCACAAGAGTGCAGCAGTTGAACTCTTCAGGAAGCCTAGGAGTTCACTGGGATCAATTAAATGAGTGCAGTCAATAAACTAAGCTGAGAATTCAGTATAAAATACTGTAAAAGAATCCAGTTACCACTCCAGCTTCAAACTAACTGAGCGACAGTGCTCTTACAGGGCTTTCTTACCACACTTGCCTTAACTCAGAAAAAGAAGAAAAAAGATTATTCAAAAGCTTGGTTTTTTTTTCCTCTCTCAGAAAATGCTTCTGGTGGTGGTGGCCCTCCAAAGTACCCCCTATTAACAGTTCTGAAAGTTAAATCTTGTCCCTTCTGAGCTTATACTTACCTCCCATCAGCTACTGTCACTCAAGGGGTACACTTATTTTGAATATTATAAAATAAACTGCTAGATCTCTCCACTGCCTGACAAGTAATGATGGAGTAGAAAGATTTTTCCCCCCCCCCTTCTTTTAATCTACCAGTGAAGATGTCACATCAGGCCATACACTGAATGGCACTTGAGTAGAGCAAGTAGCTTTCAGAAAAGGCTTAGCCTTTTTTCTAGGACAGTTTTAGGAACACCACCCACCTGACACTTGAAATCCTTCTACATGAGATTGGACTGCAGTGATTCCTCATGCCAAAAATAAGTCCACCTGCTTTGGGCTGCTCTGTATGTTGAGTTGTTTCTCATGCACGAAGTAAACAACCCTTGCAAGGCTTTTTCCTAATGTAATACCTTAAAGCTGAGAAATCATTCTACCCAACTTCCTACAGTGCAAAAGATTTAGGATCAGATTTAAAGTAAGATTGGCAAGACTTTCCCCACTTACTTGGAAAGGGGATGCAGCTTTCTTCTTCCTGTACTCCTGCTGCAGCCCATTTATACATTTTAGAACTTTTATAAATAGGCAAAGAAATACCAGTTTGAGTGTTGTGCAACCCTGACATCATGGTGGAGGTGCTGTAAGAATTTTTCTAAGCAAACTGTCTACTGCAGTAGCACCTGGTAACAGTGGTAGATCTTAAACAAGCGGCACTTGCAATTTCAGGGAAAAAAAATGCATTGAAGTAATGCACCCTCTGCCTGCAGGTCTCCCCCACCCCCCCCCCAAAAAAAAAAAAAAAAGAAAAAAAACACATTTATAAAAAACCCCAAACCACAACACACCCCTCTTTACACAGTCATTACCAAAAATTAACCAGGATGAAACAACTGTGTAAGTTGGTTGGTACTGCAGTGAACATGAGTTAACAAACCCCATACAACTGTTTAGTTTGAGGTCCAACTACACAACTGAACTACTTCTGAATGCGCTTACCACTGAATGAAGTGTGGGAGGGAAGGAGAATATAGTTTTGCAGTGTATCTACAGCTGATGGTGCCATTTAGAATATTACAGTTGTAGCAGCAATAGAAGCTATGCAAGAATGCAAATCAATTCTGAGTTTTCAGTACTAAACACATTTATTACGAGCTTCAATATGAAACTACAAGCTTGGTATAAAGAAAATATGCACAACATGATTTAAAAAAAAATCTAGTGATCTTAGCCACTTAAAATTCACTCATGCTAGTCACTGTGACATCAAGGAGGGTATACATAGTTATCTGAGGGAAAGAACAGTGAAGATAACTATTTCTGACATACCCACAGACTCATATTGCAGGAATGCCTTCTCCCAAAAGGGTCTGAGCAGAATCATCTAAATAGACAGAAATAGTCTTATGTCTTCAAGATAAATTGCATTTAAGAACAAGTCACTGGGTTAAAAACACAAGACCTTAATTTTATATCCTTAGTATTAGACATCTCAACAAAACTGAATATTTTATCAGATGTTGTGTGATAGTTTCTTGGGTCAAAAACTCCTTTCTTCATGGTTTTGCGTGTGTGACAGGAATTCTCAACGACAACCAACAAATTTCTCATTATATTTTGACAAGGATGCTTTAAGAGAATGACGTCTAGCATCTTTTTTCTGCTTGAAAATTGGAGAATTCAAGAAGTATGTATCTGTGAATGGATCTCCTCTCCTAAGCTTCCTGTAAAAAATACAACAAGATTGAGTTTTCCTTTCCCCACTCCATTTAAAGCATTTTAATTTCCAACTAGCATGCCCAATTTTACATAACTATATTACTAACATCAGACCCCCCTCTTCGAATGTTTTGATAAGAACCCCCTTAACTTGCCTATCAAGCTGAAATTCAGACACCTACCCTGCAATGCTTGGTTCTTTATAGCTCACAGCAAGAGTACAGCTCCTCTTGCGTTTTGGAGCTGGAGACACTTCGCCTTGTAGGACAGCGAGCGCGTTTCCTGGGAGGAGTGATGAAGCAGTGTTGGTAACATCACAGAGACCACGAGATGGTTCAAAAGACTCTCCTGAAAATATGAAAAATGAACAAATAAGGAAACCCCACACCACTGTATTGTTACCATTTATGATAATTCCAGCAAACTAGACGTGAACTAAACTCTCAGCAGTACCTATTACTTACACCTCTTATTTCCTCTCACTTTAACAGAAAAATGATCAACTTAAAAACATTCAAGCTTTTGATTTAATTTGTTCTGATGAAAAATAAAAAGAACTTAATGGTTTTTATAAGATAATCTCAAGTATTTTTATCACATAAATTAGTTTTTAAAAAACTCAAACCCCTGAAACAGTATGCTTCGATAAAACATAAAGCAGTAATTACAAAACAACTTCCAAACTTACCAAGAGACTTGTCACTTGATTTACTGCTTTTAGCTTCTTTTTCATTTTGGAGTTTCAGCTCACGCTGTGCCAGGCATCTTTTAGATCTTGGTCTTGGATGGATTGGTGACTTGTCATTCTGGCCCACGGAGCTTTTCCGTTTTTTCGATTTATAAGGAACATAGATGCTATCATCTGAATCTTCCTCAGTATTGCTCAATTCACTGCTATCATTTTCAGGTAAGGCTTTTTTGTCATCCATACTGGTTTCTGTGTCATTCACCCTATTTTGTCGAAAAGGTGTAACATGGATGGACTCTTCAAAATGAAAGTCATAAGCATCACTGCAACGGCCCAAGAAGTCTGACTTTTCCTTGGAAGCCTCTTTACCCTGCCTCTTCTTTGATCTTGGTCTGGATGTATTTTTAGTCTCTTCCGGTTTCTTCCTTGGACGCTTCTCTCTCTTTGCTTGAGAGCCTTCTCTGCTTTTATGCTCATGTTGTTTAAAATCAGAATTGTCTGAATTGACCTGGGCAGCTGCAGAATGTACCTGCCTCAAGACCAGCTCTGAATCTACCGTGTTTTTATTCAATGGAGAAATAGCTGAATTTATGCTTTCCACAGTACATTCCTGTAGACTTTCCAGAAGTCTAGTTTCATCCTGTTTCGAAAGCACTCTTGTTGAATCAGGGGTTTCAGTATGGTCCAAGGCACCAGTGCAAAGTTCATCCTGAGTTCTCATTTTTGAATAGCGACGCCTGGTGGACACACTTTTTGGTAACACGTTACCAAGCTGCTTATCCTTTTCACTTGAAGGAACATTTTCCAACTCTGATATTGCATTATCCAGATGGAAATCATAGGTTTGTCCTTGTAATTGAAGATGAAAAGCCATATTAAACTAAATATTAACACCCTAGAGAAGTCTTGTTCAGGTTCTGATACTGTCAACAATTAGTCTATTAAACCTTTATCAACAGATTTGTGCAACCCAGTATATTGCAACCAAGATAAGACCTGCTCTCCGCAGGCTGCCATAAAGGTTAAGTACATTGCAGCTTGAAGCTTTTCCTCTAGACTTCTAGAGTTTGGAAAGGTTCCTCATATTTACTTATCCATAAATAAGTTATGAAATGTAGATTTATAAATGAACAGAAATATACATGTACTTAGGCTAATATTTGTAATATTTTACATGACAGTATATAAAATTTAAAAATGTTTGTTTAGTTTTATATTTATTTTCCTGTACGTCTGTCTTTGCTCGAAAGCACTGACTGCATAAATGCTAACACATCAGTAAGGATCAATTTAGTCTGGAGAACATTTCAATAATAAAACTCAATTGCAGGCATACAAAAGATGTTTACAAATTCTTTCCCCATTTTGGTAGGCATCTCTGTTCAAAAAGCTTACCTTTTGCTGACCCTTTACAATAACAATGGAAAATTGCTTCAAAATTACTTCAAGACCAGTAATGCCTTTTTTTTTAAAGCTTAAAAAGGGAATAATATCCAATTTCTACTTAGATTTAGGTACCTTTGTCCGGAAATGTTTTCACTAATGAAATGCCATTCTCAGATTCCTGGCAGATCTCTGACATTGACTGAGCCAGCTCATTTCCATCACCAGCAGTCTCCACCTCCCTTCGAAGTAAACGATCATCTCCATTAACAAATGGTGGGCTCCTTCTTTAAAGGGAAAATAGAACAATGAGTTGCTTATATTACATTGGATTTATTGCCCTTTCCAGTCAGAAAGCCTTACTGTAACCCATTTTTTCAAACATAAGTTTGCATTAACATATGGTACTTACACAGAACACATTTGTCCTATAGCACCAGAATTATTCTCAAGCACTGAAGAAAACACGCTCTGGTTCTGTCAACAAAATAGATCTTGCTGTGATTAAACACCTGAGGCATGAGTGCATCATACACACATTTTAGACAAGAGCTAAGTTAAACACAGAAAGGCCAGAATCCCATGACAGTGTGTACTTTCTTCTCTTATTTCCTAAAGACATCGCAGTTATCACTATCTAATCAAATCCTGTTTTTTAATATTTGCTTGATAGTGGCCAGTGAATTCCCAAAAAAAAAAAAAAGTAAAAATTTCAAAGTTGGCAACATATCTCTTCAACATCTGCCTATGCAGCAACCAGTTGGCAAACAAGTGTTGTGAAATCTCACACAGTCAGCTCCAGTAAGTAACCACCACCACACCAATCAGTCAGCAGCAAAAGGAAGAAAACACAGGGGACATGAGGCAGGAAGCCATAGAAAAACAGGGTGCCTCAATCACTTCCTAGTAGGATGTCAGTCCCACAGTCTATTATAGGCACCACCGCAATGGGACCCCACCTCATGTTGGGAAATTTGGGACTAATTTTGCATCCAACCTAAAGCCCAAATCTCAAAACAAACAAACACACACAAAACAAACAAACAAACAAACAAAAAAAACCCCACACACATATGCTAGAGGAAAAGGAAAATAGGGCAAGGGAAATAATTAACAGGAAGTCTCCCTCGCATAGAGGTACTTACTACATCTGTGAAACACAAGCCCTTTGCCGGACGAAGGAGATCAACAGAGTCCAGTAAATTCCGGGAAACTTTGGAAATTATCTCATTCAAGGCTGACAGTCGAGTCTAGCAGAGCAAGAAGGCAAATACTATTTGCTACTATTTTATTCAGCTATCCACGTAATAGCCCCTCACCAGGATTATAACTAAGCATGTCCCTGGTACCTTCAACTGCTTGGAGTACACAGAGCACAGATTTTACTTACAAAAGCAAGTGCAACCAAAAAATACACAGGTAATTATCAGAATGAGTGGGGAGGGGAAAAAAAAAAAAAATCAACAAAACCTTGTTCTGCATATCAAGATAACTTTTCATGAAACACTGAAATTCTTAAAGATACCGACAGCTTATTTATGGTTATAAAGATATTATTAAAAATACCTTGAAAGATCCTTGTGCTTTCTCAAACCTAAGCTTTCTCTGCAAATCAAACATCTGAACCTTCAGATCTTGACACTCTTCCCGTAAAAGGAGGATCATATCCTGGGCTTCCTTGAGTTTGAGCTTTTCTTCTTGTAACGCAACTGCTAGAGCTCTGTTATTTGCTTGAATACTCTTCATTTGCACAGAGCTGGTGGCTGCAACAACAACACCAAAGAGTGTTTCGACGTAGCTATTATTTTTAAGCCTATAAAATTTGTGATAAGATATTCATATCTTACTTGCTTTTTTGCACTTCACATTTGAGATTGAGTTGATTTTACCCAGCTTTATCCATTTCCGATTTCTCTTCTCTTTCATTCGTTCTTTTATATCACCCAGACTGTCTTTGAAGGTCTTTTTCAGGTGTTCAGCCATCTTCTACATTTAGAAATATAAAGGACAAGTAACCCAGTGAGATGACACAGCACAGTGCTCCCCAACACCAAGGAAGACACACAGAAAAGCCCATGGGTCTTTTTAGTGGTATGTGAGTACACTGAAGAGACCAGCAAATGCAAGAACTGCACAGAAACGGTCGTTTTCGCTTGACTTTCAGCCACGGTCACTCTTAGAGCCACAAAGCAGGTCCTGTCCACGCCCAAAGGCGGGCTGGGAGGGAGGCACCGATGGGTCACGGAGGGGCTATCACGACACGGCGGCGAGGCCGGCACTATCACACGGGGGACAAATCTCCGCCATTCCCGCCCGCACGGCGGCCGAACAGCCGCCTCCCCCCGGAAAGAAGTGGCACCGGAAGGGGCCCCCCGCCCCGCCCC